CCCCAAAACCCCAAAACCCCAAAACCCCAAAACCCCAAAACCCCACTGGGAGATAAAAGTATTGAAAGAGATTCCTTAATTATTCAAGGGCTGGATATTGGAATTCATTCTCTCTGAGGAATTGACATCCAGGGGTCTTCAAGATGTACTTAGCACAGTATCTAGCGGCTTCGAGGCAGGTCTCTTCGGAATGACCTTGAGCCAAAGCAGCGAGGTATCCTCCAGTGAAGGAATCTCCAGCAGAGTTAGTGTCTACAATATCTTCCTTAGCCAAAGCTGGGACTGGGTGGCAAGTCACGGTAGTCTCGTTGGTCTCGAAATTATGAACAGCTACGATAGTGTCATCTGGACCTTGGGTGATGATCACTTTTCTTTCTCTAGCAGTGTTCTTCTTGTCCATTTTAGCAATGTATGCAGCAATCTCCTTTCTATCTTTAGAACCAACCTCATGGGTCTCTCCAAAGACGTCGATTTCATCTTCGTTACCGAAGACTAAATCTACGTAAGGAAGGATAGCAAGGTAGGTATCCTTACATCCTGAGATGAGGAAAGTGGCAGAGAGATTGAAAGAGAAAAGAATATTGTTCTCGTGAGCAGTCTCAGCTACCTTTTGCAAAGCTTCAGCATTACTAGTAATGAAGAATCCAGTGGTGTAGATGATTTTATATTGTTTAATCAAGTCCAAGTTTTCCTCCAAATGAGAAGTTTTGTATTTCAAGCAAGCAGCTAAGTCAGCACAGAGAGATCTCTCGTTATCAACAATAACGACAGCACATGCTCCAGTGTAAGTCTCGTCGGTGATAGAGAAGTTGTAATCAATTTTCTCAGCATCAAGGCTGTTTTTGAGAACTTGTCCTCTCTCGTCATCAGCAATGCTTCCGAAGTAGAGACAACTGTTGTCTTTTTCCTTGAGCATGAAGTTGGCACATCTGATAGCATTCATAGCGGCACCTCCTGGAGTTCTGTCTCCTTTCTCATCAGCCCAGAGTTGGTCGAAAAGTTCCTTGTGCTTGTCTTCAGCAAGACAGGCAAGTGCTTTAACAAGGGAATACTTTTCCATTAACTCTTGTCCTGCTTCATGAGTGAATCCTTCGATTCCTGATCCGTAAGGCTGACTGGCAATGTCAAGAAGTGGGTTACCAATTGCGAAGATAAGTTTATCAGATTCCATTATAAATCTTTTATTAACACTCTAAATTAATTTAATATCTAGTTGGGGTTTTGGGGTTTTGGGGTTTTGGGGTTTTGGGG